TAACAGTAGCGGAGATTGCCGAAGTATCCCAGATGCTTATGGCAGCTCTTGGAAATAATGTTGAGGATGAAAACACAGTAGCCCTTGATCAGTTAAAAGAAAGTGAGTAAATATATTCATCAAGGTTGTGAGTGATACTAAGTGTAGTTATTGTGTAGAATATAATATTTTAACTTATCTAATAATTACTTATCCAATAAGCCCTATTGTCAATGTTTTTACATTATACTTAAAATGTATTTTGCAGATGATCCTTTAGAGGATTCGGAATCAGATTATTCTGAACAGCGATCAGAAAGCGAATTTAATATTTCCGATGATGAAATTGTAGAAAAATCCAATGCAAAAGGAAAGCGTCCAAGTAGTGAGTATTGAATTGCAACCTACATATTTTTGTCACGTGCTTACATGCATTGCGATTAGTCTGTCCTATTTATCCTCATTCGCAAAGTGAAAAAATATATCGTGCTTATTTTGCGGGCCCATTGAAGTTAGAAACTTTGGGCTTGAAATATATACACGTATATATCCACGATAGGTAAAGTGCTACAATTATATAATGACGACCACTGGGGGCGTTGTAAATCCTAAAAATCGTTTTAAATTGCACAATCGCAAATCTTACAGAATCTTAGAGCTTGACTAACTTTTTCATGAATACTATTGATGGACTACTCTGAAGATCGATAAAAATTAGTTTGCCTACGATTGACTGGGTGCGTGGCGAATGTTTAAAATTGATATCACCTAATAAATTGTTCTGGTAGGCTGTATTAATCTGTTATTGGTCTATGATTGAGTATTGCGACGGTTGCAACCGACTGCAAAGTTTTTAATATTTTTCTATATTACTAAAACGTTATTCTTTTTCACACTAAATTGTATTAAACTCTATTATTTAACAGGATCATCATTTGGAAAAACGATAAGAAACCGGTGGTCGAATGAAGAGCGTGAAGAAATATACCAGGCTTTTGGCGACCTGTTGTCGCTTAAAGGATTGCCGTCACTTAATCAATGCAACACAGTTATAAATAATTCTACATATCTAAAATGTAGGACACCGGCGCAAGTAAAAACATGGATAGATAATCAGCGCAAGGCTAAATCAAGGAACTCCGCAAATAGATTAAATAATAAATATGTTGACCATATTTAAAATAAGTGGATTATACTTTTTCGTATATTAATATTAATTTATGTTAAAAAATTTTGGAATTAAAAAAAAATTCATTTTAAATGCATGTATTTAATAACGTCATTTATGTTAATTCACATTATTAATTTTACTTTAACCTAAAGTGATCCAAAACTACATTCAAAATAAATTTGACTCTTAATTTCAATTAAGCCAGTCTGCCACTAAATTTAAAATGTATAAATTTAATAAAATATTGCTGAGTCTTACGTGGTTTAGCGTTATATTTATTTAGTTTAGTGAGTTTTATCGAAATTCACTGTTCCCTAGTCCTCATAACCTCTATATATGAGTCTCTATATTTATATAAAATCAGTATGTTTTTGGGGACAGCTATTTGACTGTTATTTACTAAATTGAAGTGTGAACTGGACCAAATCTCATCGTTCCTGTGTCCTTATAATACACGTTGCTTATGCAAAAAGGTCTGCATATGGCAACCCTGCGTTTTTGTTCCTAAAACTGACCTTATATATAAAGTTCATTATACGGAAAATTTTTATGTTATATACTGAGAGTATTTCGGGAACTGAGTCCTCGTAAAACACGTTACATGGTGTGTACCCAAAATAATGGTTGTATATAAAATTTCTCATAAGTCACGAGGCTATGCTTCTAAGACCGTTAAAATTTCCCAGAGGTTAATTTAGAAGTTCCATCATGATTCCCCAAAGAGAAAACCCCCACTTTTTGGGGTCCCTGAAATCGATGCTCCACATATATATATATATATATATATATATATATATATATATATATATATATACATAAATACATGCACAGCTATGTATGCGCCTGTGATGGCAACTAAACGCAAATCCTTGTTGTTTCCCGCAAATTTATCACAGACAAATCTGTCAACACAACAACAAACACAACAGACACAGTACAATGGCAGCATCAGCAATGGAACCGCAGCCCCAGTACCAGCAACTGGCACGGGAACAACTGCCACGACGCTGGTCACGCAACAACAGCAGCCACCCGCACCTCTGACAAATGGACACGCCATGGAGCAACTGCAGCAGCAACAGCAGCAGCAGCAGCTACCGCATACCCCACAGAATGTGCTCAGCATTGTGAGTTTGGCCAACACAGCAGCATCAGAAAAAAATTATAATAAAATAAACAGTCAAGAAAACAAAAAACTAAGGGACAACTCGAGAGCAATGCAAACAATTGAAATATACGTACGCCATGAGTTTGGTTTCGGTTTCATGCTTGCTCTGGGTTTCTGCAGCTTAAGTTTTATTTTTTGATGCCTTTGGAGCTGACCAGCTCCTTCATTAGGCAAACGTTGCTACTTAGTCATAGAAAACCCACGTTGTTGGTCCACATTCATTGCAGCTATCGCATTATCATTCCCAGCACATATTTTATATTGTTGTGCAGCGTAACAATTCTCCATAAATTCTCTGGCAAGGCGAATTTGTTGTCTAGTTTTAAATTTTTTAATTTTTACAATTGAGTTGATGAAAAAATCTTGGCAGCCTTCCAGCTAAATTATTATCATTAAAAAATTAAAACTTATATAGAATACTGGCAGTTAGATTTTACACTTTTATTTTGAAGTTTCGGTTGTTACATAAATATGATTATGTCCGACAAAACAAAGTATTTACTATTTAATCATAAGTTAGCTTGTGTACATAAAATATTCATAACTTAACACCAATGCTACTAACCAACTGAAGAACTTCAACCAGATGCCACAGAAAGTAAAAGTTAGAAAAATTCAACTCGCATAAGAAAATGCCAACACCTTTCGCATTCATGTTGAAGCATTTAGCTCAAATTCCTTTACCGTTGCCTTTTATATGTTATTCCTTTGATTTTGAGTGAAGGAAAAAGTTGATATACTCTGTTAATTAAGTGAGCAAAGTATTTAAGATTCGTTAGCTCAAAAATTCGGCTGTCAAATAAAAATTCTCCGGTTCGCAGTTTAAAGGTCACTAATTTGACATTCTGCCGAGCATAAAATCTTTCATGTTTAAACATGTTTTTTTTCAAGCCACTTTGAGCCCATGAACAGAGTATCCTGCAGTCGTTCTCGCTTGTCTCTTTTGCTGTTTCGTAATGTATGCAAAAATGTTTGATGCGGCATCAAAATGCGAGCGACCTTTTTGCTGGCGTCGCGTGCCTTACAAAGGCATTTTATAAACTAAAAAGCGTTAAATGTCATTTAGGGTAACCCAATCCCAATCCCAAGTTGTAATACCTGAACGCCCCCGTCCATTTTCAGGCCCGACCTACGTTATCGTTAGCCATTTATACGGCTAAAGTTTTTCACGCTATTTCACTTTACCCCACCAACCGCCATCTGATCCAAGGAAAATAATGAAAATGTGCTCTAAACATGCAATCGGAATCGTACAGAGAATACCCTGCTCTGATATGCATATGTGTTTACAAAAAGAATTTACTTAGATTTATGTGTCAACAATGCGCATTTAATACGAATGCCAAACGAAACCCAAAATTAAGTTGGCGTCATTTATATTGCCTACTTTATGGGGCGTGTGTGTTATGGGCGGTTCGAATTTATTTGCTATTGTTATTATTGCATTTGCCAGTGCATTTTGATCGTGTGCGTAAATTGACAATAATATGAAATTATTCAAACCCAGAGATAGAGAGAGAGTCAGAGACAGGGATGCGCCTGAGGCTGACTCTGTGGGATGTGCTTGGGCATAGCCTGGTCGGCTGACAACAATGCCAATAGACAACATGCCACTGTGCATATTCAGTTTTAATAATGCAAAAATACAAATGCAAACACATCCGCAGGGTCGCCGCTGGGATTTGGTTGCAGTAAGGGGAATTGCAGTACTTGCGCGACAGTTTTATTGCATAAGTCAACAAAAGTCTGTGCCACAAATGTGCCATTCCATGGGTTCGACAGTCTGTCCGCTTTTCTGTCGAACTGTGTGTGCTTTGTAACTTTTTTATTGGGTCACCCACACACACACAGACAGCTGCACTTTGCAGTGCATAACGTGTGTGTGTGTGTGACTGCCAGTCTACAAACCACTTGAAAATTGTATTTTCATTTCAATTGTTTATTTATTGCGGCACTTGTTCGCATTCGATTTTCAATGTGGCAGCTGCAGCAACCACAAAAACATCGACAAGTACGAACATTTCTATATTTCACCAATTTATAATAATGCATTTTTACTAAAGCATTTCAACAGTTACCAAAGCAGGTGTTAACAAATGTTTGCAATCGAATTAAAATTTTAAAATTAAATTGATGGGAATTAATAAATAAAGCACAAAAATACTGGGACTTTGTTGTATGGGCTGGGAAAAGTGAAAAGCTAATGTAATAATATGGTCAAGGTTATGAGCATAAAGGTTATAATTAAATGAATATTGGGCTAATAACTAAATATTTCTTTACCAATATTTCATTTATTATCTGTACTACAACATAGACTAGTAGAAAAAAGCCTGTGCCTAGTTCAGAAATTCCTTTTATACAGGTATACTTAATTCATAAATAGTAACAGACGGGCTCTAATTTAACTATATTTATCATATGTGATTAAATTGAAAAGTAAAATTCCACCCGTATTTAGATAACGTGTGGAAAACTGTTGAATGCAACTTTTGCATTTTTCATGCGATCCGTTTAATTTTCAAAGATCTTTGTGAGAATCCATTAGATAAATGATTTATTTTAAGAATATTCGAAATGCCTGGCGCAATTTACTAATTAATTTGTTCAATCTATTCTTTTTTCTCGTTTCTGCCACAGTCCACAGTATTGATTGCCAGTGAGGCAGCGGAGGCACAGCAGAACTCTGCGTTGCCACATGCTGGTGGTGGCGGTGGTGGTACCGGAGGTGGCGGCGGCGGCGGTGGCATGCCCAGCTCACCGCTCAGTAGCTCACCGTCCAGCGTTACAGTCGCCTCGACAGCAGCCACACTCAATGGCAACAGCAACAGCAATAGCATCCCCAACGATGGCAACGTATCAGGCAACACATCACCCATTGCTAGCGGCGAGCCGTTGCTGCAAACGCCACCAGCAGTACAGCAACAACAGCAACAACAGCAACAACAACAACAGCAGCAACAACAGCAGCAACAACAACTGCAACAACAACAGCAACAACAACAACAGCTCATTTTAAGCAGCAGTCCCACAGCAGCAACTTCAGTGACCGCCAGCTCCATAGCCTCGGGCACCTTGGCCGCAACGAGCAGCAGCATGTCCACAGGACTACTGCCCACCGCCGGACTGGATAGTAATGCCAATTGTGGTGTGCCCGCAAGCACTTCTCAGGTGATTGCGCATCTAAACGCAGTCAGTGGCATTATGACAGCGACCGTGCAGTCACCCAATGTGGTCACTAGTCTAAGCAGCGCTCTAGTCCCGGCACAGTCGGTCTCCTCATCGGTGGCTGCCGCCGTAGCCGCCGCTGCCTCGTTGGATGCCAAAAGTCAACCGAAACGCTTACACGTCTCCAATATACCGTTTCGCTTCCGGGATCCCGATCTGCGTGCCATGTTTGGGGTAGGTCCGCTGCAGCAGTCGAAACAATTTCTTATGCTAACCTACTTATTATTTGCCTGCAGCAATTTGGCAACATTTTGGACGTGGAAATCATCTTCAATGAACGTGGCAGCAAGGTAAGTTCCCATTATGTACCCTTTTCCTCTTGCACGATTCATTTAAATTATGCACAGGGCAAGCACTTGAGGGGCATACTCAAGTCAAGTGAACTCCTTTGTCCAGGGACGGCGACGTCATAACGTTGCCAGAACTACCTTGAATCATTGTGTTCCGGCTAAAAATATCACTTGGACGTATTTTTCCTGTTTAGCAACAGCAGTAACAAAAAACTAAAGCATAAAATCAGAATGTCCCTTGCAGTATTCTCCTGGCAACCGCCGTTCACTGATATAATTGCATAGTAACGGGCGCTGTTGCTATACGACACGAAAAATGTGCATAATTTAAGGCGCTGACGCATGTCCCAAGATGCTGAGCCCCGCATGTCCATGGCCCTCACTGTCTCCCCAACGCTCAGTCTGTTTGTGTGTATATTGTAGCTTAGCATTATGACTTGGTACAGACCTTGTTTTATCGTAATTTATATGCTATATACTCTACCTAAATATATGTATGTGTGTATATATATATATATATATATATATATATATACATATATATTCTTATATACTCTATATGTTTTTTTAATTGCATGTTTGATTGCGAATGGCAGGGATTCGGTTTTGTAACATTCGCTAACAGCAACGATGCAGAACGAGCACGCGAACGTCTACACGGCACCGTGGTTGAGGGACGCAAAATCGAGGTGGGTGCATGCAAGCAATACCATAAACCACATATACCATCAACACACACACACACACACACATATACATAGTTGCATACGGCCCGTTCACATGGGAAGCTATTATTTAAAACTAATTGCAAAACTATAACAAGTTTCTCATTTGCCACTAAAAAATAAATTTGGTTAAGAATAGAATCCCCTTAGAGGGAAAAAGGCTTTCGACTTGCGTGTCGTGAAACTTTTTCACATGTTTTCGCGTTTCAGAAACTGATTTTTAAATTCCGATTGCTCTGATTGTGCTTTTGGCACTGCGAAACGTATTTAAAATCGGATTCACGCATGGTCAGCGCATTTTGATTTCGAGTTTTAATCGAACGCTCATTAATTTTAAAATTATTCGCCGCCTTTTTTATTTGCCTTTAATTAAAAATTAATTACTTTTTTCCCATTTTGCATTTCCTTGCAAATGTCTGTCAGCGCTTACCAATTTCTGTATTTATGTTGAGTGGATGGCCGCAAATAATTGGCATTTAAAATATGCTGAAAATGTGCAAAGTGGCAACTGATATTTAAACAATTTAACTGCAGGCCGCAAAAGACGGCAGTGATAATTCATTTTATTTGCAGCGCAAGCGAAAAATAACGAAAGCTGGCTAATTACGTGAAATGCGCCAAAGCGTTGCATATGTATAGGTTAATTAATATTAAAGATCTGAGAAGGAAAACTCATTTTTGTAGGAAGCAGGTTTTAGCTGTTTAAATTTAATGCCTTACTTGCTTTTAAAGATGCTTTAACACTCTCACAGATACACACACACACACACACACATACACATACACCTCATTCAATTATAATTGTTTACTAACAAATAATTTATTTTCACGTTCCTTGTACATGCGAAATGCGATTAAACAATAATTTTCAAAAAATATAATTCTATATAATGTATACATTATATTAAAATCAAAATAAAAAACCATCACCAAAACCAACCACGCTCGCTGCAACTCAACTCTACTCGTTACTCGAACTCTCTCGTTACCAATAACCATTGTGAAGGTGAATAACGCCACTGCACGTGTACAAACCAAAAAAGTGACAGCAGTACCCAACGGTAAGTTGCTCTAACGTACACACACAAACACAATATACACCTGCTTACACACACACACATATACCCATATAACACCCATGTATAAGCTATGTAGCGAAACAAGTTTAAATGTTGAACAAAGAAATGCAATTACGTCTGGCCTAGAAGAACTATAAGAAATGAGAAGCACGCAAACGGCAACTTAAATAACAGCAACAACTACAACAACAACAACAATAAAAAACTTTAACACAACTGCCATAATATTTGACTGGCCGTTGCCGTTGTTGTGTTTGGCGTTGCCGTACTTTACGTTGATTTCTTTTTTCTAAAATGTATTCTTTCTTTTCTTTTTTTGTCCGTTGAACTTTTCACATAAACTTCTGCGGTTGCTGCTAAAATGTTAGTTCCTGAACCGAAATGTTTCTTAATGAAAATGTTTGGTCTTGGAAATTTGTTATTGCTTTTGATTTAATTTGAAGAACTTGTTAATAAAGCGTATGCCGAGGCGTTTGGCAATCAAAAACTTGTTAACTGTGTTGTGCCGCACTAACAACTTCTACCAAAATTGCGGCTGCTAACAAAACAATGTATACCATAAAGCACACACTCACACACACAGTATTCGCTGAATTCGGCTTTGTTTGTTCTGTTATTTTGAGTTATGGTTAACAATGTCTGCATTTGAATTTCCTATAACAAACCGATTACTGATGATTGAACACACATTCTGATAATTAAAAAAAATTTTTTTTTATTTACTTTGTTTTCTCTTACACACCACCACCACCACACAGTTGTACTGACCAAAGACGGTGCCCTACCGGCTCCAGCTCTAGGTGAGCAAACCAGAGAACAAATAAAATGAAAAATTGCAATTGTTATATATGTCTTGTTGTGCCTTGCTTGCCAAAATATAAATAATAATTAGAATAAATATCCCACTCAATGTTGTCCATAAACGTAGGCACCTAATAACGTACCAGCATAACCCTTAACTATAGCACCCAACTCTATAGTCAACAATGTCCTGGCATGTTGCACGCTAAAGGTGGCATGATATGAATCCCAATATTGGCTAAATAACTCTAAATCAACTGTTAAACGATATAATCTAAGCATATGCATTGACACTCATAGTCCCAGCATGAATACTCTCCACCATATCCATGTTTTTTATGATTATAAACTTTCAGTATGTACTTCATTAGATAAAGCTGCAGCTGCGTATGCACAAAACTGTGAAAAATATGTTTAACATATCGAATATGTATAGAGAGAGAGAGAGAGAGGCATTAAATTCATAAAATATTTCATGTTTATCTGTAGGCTGACTAGATCTGTAAAACACATAAACTTTGGTCTTGTCGTGTGGTTTCTTATGGGAAGTTTTGTCAGCTAGAAGTTCTTAGATGCTTAATGTTTCGTTTGCACTGCGCACAATTTCATTTGAAGTTGCGGTTGCTTAAAAGTTTACTCTCTTACCCAAAAAAAAAAAAAAAAAAAAAAAAAGAAGAAGAAGAAGAAAATATAAAACAGCAGCAAGAAAGTTTCCATGCCATGTATAATAAATAATGCTGCTGATTAAATCGCCTTTCCATGCAAGCTGCCATTAAAAAGTATTCACAGTGCAAAATCTATACTTTAGTTTCGCTCAAATACGATAAGCCGCTTACCAGCCCAAACCCAACCTAAACCCCACCTAAACCCAACCAAACCCAAGCAAACAAAACTGAGCTGAACTTAGCCAGCAAAAAGGGAAGCAGCTGAAATGTAGCCAGCAGCTGGTCCCACGGAGTTTTTGCCTTCACGTGGACAGGACATGCAAAATGCTTTTGTATCGCCAACAAACTTAGATGCAGACAAACCGACAGACCAACGTACAGATAGGAGATCAGATGCTGCACATGCGGCAGATTCTGCTGGCTGCGTCTTTGGCCTTAGTTGCCTTTGCCGTGGCTTGGCTTTTCCTGCCTTGCCCGTCCCGGCAACATTTCTACTCCTGTGCACTGCTCGCCACGTGCACGTAATGCGCTTCATTTGCGTTGCACTAAATGCGAGCTGTGTGTCTGCTGGGACACCCAGCTATTTATGCGGCTGCTAGCATATTATAGAAATAGACAGACAGACCAAAAGGTACTTGGTCAGACGGAAGAGTAAAGACAAGTGGCAGGAGCCACTTACTTTATCACGTTTCGAACTGGCTTCACTTGCTAGGCAAACGGCTGGCAGCATTAGCACCAACAAGAACGAGAGCAGGAGCTCGTTACGGTGCATGCAGGCGAGGCGGGCGGTCAGGATAATTACAAAAAAAACCCACAATGTTGCAAGCATGTTGCGGCACACACATAAATTGCAGTAGCAAAAAATGAAAAACTCTCCTCCAACTCCTGTTGCCTGGTACGTCCTTTGGCCGTTGCAAAACCATTTTAGTTTTGATCCTTTGGTTGTGTCTTATGCAAATGTCTTCCATTCGCACACATTTTAAAGAAAGTTTGCCATCTACTTTGTATGTTGACTTCCCTCACATACATGTACATATGTTATGCATATATGTAAATATGTTTCTTTCTGTTTTATTTTTCGTTGATCCTTTGACATGTAAAACTTAATGCGCCCAACCAGCAGGAACAACATTTCTGACTGCCTGCTCGTCTATTTGACATTTATTTTACTGCATTTTTCGATTTGTCGCTAGTTGTATATCCCTCCCTTTGTATTTGCTTAAAGTCGATTGTTTAGTCAGCATTTGAGCTTATTTGTTATTTCGCTAGCAATTTGCTTCATTGTGAAACGTTTCACATTTTCAATTGCATCATTTGTGAGCATCTTAAATGCATAATACAGCATTGAGACAAAAAATGTCAGTTTATTTGCGACAAAAACAAAACAGCATGCAATGCTCTAAAACAAACTCAAAACGATGTTGAATCAAAACAAATATAACTAAATTTGGTTAAACCAATTGGCTTGAACTGCGAATTTCGCCTAGTTTCGTTTAAATTGCTGCTGAAAGCGTTTTTTTACTATAGTAAAATAATATAAAATATGCAAATAAATAAATGTTTGTTAAATTCAAATAAAAGTGCATGTTTATGCTGCAACAAACCCCAACCAGTATACAAAAATAAATTGAAGAAATATTTCAACTACACCGCAACTGCATTAGCACGGCCCAAACTTGTAAATGTAATTGAGCTGCGTGTCATGTATATAAAATCAAAAGTTTTATTTATATAAATAAAATCACAATTTTAATATAAAACTAATTCAAAATTTTCTCTTCATTTTTCCATGCTCCACAAAAACAAAAATACAAAAATTGCTGCGACTATAAAAAAAACTACACCAATTTATATAAATCAACTGGCTGCAGTTTGCGTTCAATGGCCTGAAGGTAAGCGTTCCGTCACGTTTTATTTGTACTATTTTTTGCTGTATTTGTATTTTGTATTTATTGCTTGCCGTATTTTGTTATAAAGTCTAAAATTACACAAACAATTTGAACAGACACACACACACACACAAATATACAGTAAAAATAAGTTATCTTTAATGTATACGAGAGAGACCCGTTCAGTTTTTAACATAAGTATAAGCCGTGGCATATTTTTTAGAGTGTAAGCGACAAAAAACATAAATACATACATAACTAAATGACAACCCATAAGAAAACTATGTTAGGCAGCTCGACATGTGAAGCATATATATATGTAAACGCTGGGATTTTTGACAGTACGAGAAATCATTTGAAATGCTCATTATTCAATTTTTACCTAACTAAAAACTTAATAGATTTTTCATTTTTATTGTTAGGCTCCGCGTTAAACTGTATGCATATATTATATTCGTAAACCTACATACTTTTTGCAATACTAAATATTTGATGACTGTTTGTAATTGTACTCTATTTTTTTTTTTAATGAGTCATTTACTTTTGCATATAACCCAAACTTGGAAAAAAGAATTGAACCAAAAAATAGAAAACAAAACACGAATGAAAATTAAAAACAAAATTTGAAGCATAAAAAAAAAACAAAAACAAAAATATCGTTACTTACCGCTCGCAAACCCATTCAGAATCAGGCGCGTCACCATTTTCTTTCTAGTCTTAATGATGCTGATGATCCTGTGATCATCTAATAATGGTTATGAATTTTAGCATATTGCGGCTGTGTTGTCTTATGCATACTACTTAACTACTATATATAAATATACTCTTAATAAATATATAAATATATATATTTACTATATATCTATATACATATGAACAATCCATATTATTTTGTTTAACACATTTATTTTAACCAGTTTTGTTGTATGTGCGTTTTGTTTTTATGTCCTGAGTTCGTTTTACGTTTTATATATTTTGGTCTGGTTCTTTGATCTGAACATTGTCGGAAATGCTCCTTAGCATAATTACTTATTACTTAAGTCAACACACAGACACCAACACACACACACACACACACACACACACACACACAGACACATTCCCACGCAACTACAAACACGAATGTATGTAAATGTTAACTCTCGTCGCGTTCCAAGCAGCTTAACTTAGCACTAGACCTAAGCTATACCACAAAAACCAAACCAAGCCGAACCAAGAGAACGTCAATCACTGCATCCCAGAATTCGATATGTAAATACAAAACACAGCCATACGCAGACCCGTATATATATCTATATATATACATACACACAGACAGACACATCAGCTCATCCACTGATCCATCGAATGATACAAACAATTTTAACAAAATTTATGAACAAAAATATGAACCTTAAGGTTATCGGCTGCCCATGGCCGCTGCGTGGCCATTTTTGGGTGCGCCAGTTGGGGCCGGAGCGCCGACGCTGACACCGATGACGCTGCAGATGCCACTGCAGGTGGCACAAGCGGCCTCAGTGGCACCAGCGGCGCACAGCGCAGCCACGCCCACAGCTACTCCAACAGCCACGCCCATTGTGTTAGCGCAACGCCATCCAGCACACAGTGCAATGCCAACAAGTGTGACGGCACAAACTGCAGCAGCAACGACACGGCGGAGGTACATTGAAAATTCTGGATCGAATTTGTTTGAGTGTATGCGCCAAAAAAAGCAGAATTCAAAAATTAAGTAAACTCGCTGACTCACACAAAAGACAGACCAACACATACAGATACACAGAGAGGCACACCCATACACACACACACACATACACAAAGGCATAACTACAAAGGCAACAACAAGTGACAAACTCTTAGTTTTGAGATCTGTACCATATACTTACTATACATACATATGTACACATATATATTTGTTGTCTTGTTAATTTGGTTACGCATTTGGGTTTGACTGTATGCCAAGTACTATATATTGCATACCTTTTGGCGCCCTTGAGATTGCATTGTTCTACGGCTAGGCACACACAAGCAAACACAAGTCCACGAACCCAAGAACCAACCAATCAGTCAATCAATCAATCAATCAGTCAATCAACCAACTAGTGGCAACCTCACATGACAACTGTAATTAGCAATTAAGTATGGAAAGGTTCTTAGCTTTAACCATAGTGTACCTACTATATATCGTAATTTATAACGTACCCTATATCGTGTGACGGTAGACAATTTTTGCGCAGCAAGCATTTTAAAAAGGCATTTTTTCTAGATTATTAGTTTTTAGCAACTCTTGTACTCTTTATCTCTCACTGTTTCAATCTTTCTCTATTGTTTCATATCTCTCTGTTTATACTCTTGATATGTTTTTACTTACTTTGCAATTGTGCACGTTTTACTTTTTGTGTTTTCATCGCAAAAAATGCAAATTTTTTAAAAATTAAATGGAAATGGATAATGAAAATAAGTAAAATAAGATTGCCTCAATAATGAATTATTGTCAAGTTGAGAAGACGATACGATTCTACAGTTTTTTGCATGCTACAAAAAGATAAGGCCAGAAGTTATACACTTTAATTGCTTGGCTCTAATGCTTTTTTATTTGTAAATAGCAAAAATCGAAATTAACTTTGATAATTGAAATTAAAAATTGCATTTACATTGTTGAAAATCTAAATAATTTGTGCTCTGTCAAGCTTTTAATTTGCATTCGAATAGTCAAATCGAATTAAATAGCAAAATAAATTTGTAATTTGTTTTTGGGCTTATAAATTGCATTAATAATAATAGATGCGTTGGATTTTCAAAGAGAACTGTACAAAAGTTGCCGCAATTGCAGCTGAGGTCTCCAATTATGTTCGCTTTTGTCCTGGTTATTGCGGCCGGACTGGCCAATCGTTTAAAATGAGTAACAAATGTATTTTTAATTGCGTGCCAAGCCTCAATGGCATCCATCGATGTTTCACGTATTATAAATTTTAACAGATTTTAAAGCATTTCAAGCTGCTTGTGTTTTACTTTAATGTAGAGCTTGTTAAAGACAACGTTTTTACTCTAGATTATCTGAGCACAGTAATTGCCGTTGCAAAAGATCGCATATGATCGCAAGGATCATATATTTGTTTGTTATCTGTAAACTTTGTTCTATTTATATAGTTTTTAGTAAATGTGTTTTAATAGTTTTGATTTTATTCTAAGGTTGAAGGGCTTTAAATATACCAACGTTAGTTAAATCGTACCACTTTCTATATAAACGTTATAAATATATATTTTCTTATGCTTTGTAAACGAAAACCTCTAAAAATACTTTGACCAAAATTAAATGCAATAAGTTGTAACAAAACAAAATGTCTTGCCGCATACACACGTATATACAAATTTTATATATGTTTTTAATCCAAACTGCAGAACGGTCAAATGTTTTGGTATTGTTAATGAATGGTCATATTAAACCGTATATATATATAATACGAACACCACAACCAAAAAAAAAAAAAAAAAAAAAAAAACAACTGCGTAGCATTTCTTGGTAATTCAATGTTATAATGTTAAGTATGTTTCAAACTGAATCCCCCTTTAAATGACTGACTTCACGTATGTCTTATGTATTGTTATATGTATATACCAAAATCATTTCAATACTCAATCGATACCTAAACTATATACATCCAAACCGTTACTACATATTGCCTAGTATTTGCTAAACATATACTATATGCTATTTACTATATATATATATATAAAATTATATAAATTTACTTATATAAAGAGAGAGAAACTAACCGCATGCATTTTATGTTCTTTTCTTTTCCTTTTTTCTACTTTTTGCACACGAACACAAACAAACGAACAAACACACAAATACACACGAAACATATATAAAATGTAATGCGTGTGTTCAAACACCCACACATAACACACACACACACACACACACACACCCACACCCACACACACACACACTGGTAAAAATGTTGTGTACAAATCGTTGCAAAAATATCAATCAAAAATCAAAATCCAAAAACAAAAAATCGTTTGGCCGCCTCACAGCCGCCGTAGCCGCCGCCGCTGCCATGCGTGGAGTTGCCATACAACGTGGACACGTGGGCGTGGTCGGTGCCACACCCTTCCATCATCCCCATCATCCGCACCATCATCAGGCGCTGGTTGCCGCCGCCCAGCAGCAACAGCAACGTCAAGTGGCCGCCGCTGCCGTGGCCGCAGCAGCCGCCCAACAGCAGCAGCATCAGCAACAACAGCAACAGCAGCATCAGCAGCAGCAGCAACAACAACAGCAACAACAACAACAGCAGCAACAACAGCAACAACATGCGGCAGTAGCCGCTGCCGCCGCTGCCCAGCACTCACAACACGCCGCTGCCGCCGCCGCCGCCGCCGCTCACGCACATCCGCATGCACATGCGCATGCTCTCGCCCCCCAGCTAACCCAGCTGCAGCCGACGCTCCAGGCGGTCGCCGTGCCCACTGCCGCTGGTAGTGCTGCGGCTGCTGCCGCTCAGCAACACTCGGCGCTGCAGCAATCGCTGGCAGCTGCCGCAGCTGCACAAAATTCGGGCGTGGCAGGCAATGCGAACGCTGCTGCCGCCGCTGCGTATGCGGCACGGCTCTCCGCTGCCACGGCTTCCCAAACGCCGGCCGCTGCTGCTGCGGCTGCTGCTTCCATGGCAGCGTCGGCTAATGCGGCCAACAGCGCTTTGCATGGATTTGCGCCGTAAGTAGAGTTCACTCCACGTTGCCCCAAAATCGTCGCCGTCGCAAAAGTCGCCATTAAAGAAAAGAAAAAAATACTTCCATGTAGCTCTAGTTGTATCTTGTTTTCCTTATTTTTTTTATTTAGTTAAATAATCTCTTATATATTGAATGTAGTTTTAGCGCACTTACTTTTTGTTTATGTGGTGTCTACGCTCAATCTCAAACGCTTACTCAAATCACCAACTGCAGCAACAGCAGCAGCAAGAACAACCGGCTCACAGAATTGCATGCAACAAAATATTACGCATACGCCACGTTGTGCCAGCTGCTGCTGATGGTGTTACTGTTAGACACGATCTATCATCATTTTACAAAACTTAACTTCTCCCAAATCCCCATAATATTAACCTTATCCCAAATCCCAGCCACCTCCAACTTCGAGCGCAAATTGTTTATAGCTTTAACGTTGTTTTTTGTCTCTCAATTTTTGGTCTATGCGGTGATTTTCATTAAATATTTAGCTACCTTGTGTGTGTAACGTTTTTATAAGTATATTCAAAAAAATATATATGCATAGCGCCACATTTGCCTAATGTACCATCTAATTCAACCGCAAGTTTAGACTTGTCTCTTGTATAAAGTCAACTAAAACAACAACAGCTACAAAAGCAGCAACCAATTAACGCACGCCAACTATTACATAAACTATTTAAAATAAAACATATATATATATATATATAACAAATATATATATATATATATACATATTTAGATATACAACTATATATTCTTGACTGAGAGAAGTTTTTTGGCATCGTTTAATATATTCGTATAATTATTTGATTATCTTGGTTAAAGGGAACTACGTAATTGTATATTGTGTACCACTAGGCGTATGATGAAATTGAAATTGAATTGAATTACAAATGTTTTTGATGCGTCTGCTGCTGCTGCCGCGCATGTTTCCACTATATCTCAATAATTGTTAATATTATTATTTCTAAATACACCCGTTCTATTTTTTTTTTATTCTTTTTGTGGCTGCTGTTCTAATAAACTAAATAATAGCGTATGAATGATGAACAATGATAATGCTATACCATTATATATGAATTCTACCCAACTAATTAGCTAGGTGCATGAATGTCTGTTCTGTCTATTAAAATGCAGAGGTCGAACAACAAGTGTTTTTTGTAGTATCGGGCAATTGTAATGTGTACTCGTACCTACCATATATGGTTGATTATCCTTGCTAGTGTTCTACTTATAATTTACAAATGCATATGCATAACCTAAAAATCACCTCGTCATCAATTAGGATAAAGCAAACAAAGAGTACAGAATATAAGGTTTATTGCTAGGTGTTAGGATTATAGGTGGGAACTTGGTTTCTGTGAGGATACGAATAGGGCTTAATTACCTTTTCAGTTATACCTTTAGTTTCAGCCATTATACCCAATGCACCCGGTACAAAAGAAAAAGTAAACAGACAAAGGTAAAGGCAAAGTTTTCGCAATAAATTAAAAAATATATCATACAGTGATGTATGAAGCGCCAAAACTATGTAATTACCTTCTGCCCATAACGCCCAAACAAAAACCCACACACAAGTGCGTTAAAAAATTAATAAAAATATAAAAAGAAAAATAATAATATAATATGTATAAACATTTTTGAATTTTGCTTTTAAGTGCTATTCAAATGAAAGTTGAGTCAGATAAAATGAAGAACAATATTTATTGGAAATGTTCTAGTGTTGATCCGGCTCGGCTGACATTGAAACCAATTGTAAAGAGTGTCCAAGTGAGTTATTAATCTTGAAATCTGTCTTATCCTTCTTCTTAAACACACACAGCGTATACTATGATCCCTTCTTAGCAGCCGCTGCTTCCGCTGATCCAAATCTACGCTTCCAGGTAAGTCTATCAAAATTGTACACTATAATATTTTTTGTTAAGACTATCATTTAGATATAGGATTATGTGTAATATACGTTAAGCTATGTTAAGAACTAATTTAAAGCTGGCTAGCTAAACTAAAAAACCTTCGTTTTTAAAATATATATACATATATATTATATATAAATTTTACAGGCAGCCAAACCGGTCACTGAAGTTCCAGCCGCACAGCCAGCCGCCATATTAAATGTAATGAAATCTATTCAAATTGATACGCTAACCGTAAAGCATAAAAAAAATCGTTTTGAGAACGTTATCTCAACTATTATATTTATTATACACTCGTACATACACATTTATTTACACATTAACTTTCAATTGAACTTGTGAAAGACACCAATATTTGACTTGGTTTTTGAACAGAACATTCCTATATACATATACATATGTTTGTACAATTATTTTTCGCTCCTTTTGTTATTATTTTTCCGTTTCATATTATTATTGCATAAAACACTAACGACGCGTTTGGAGACACACTTCTTTCTTTACGTACCCACACATTGGGATTGGTGTTTTTCTATTGTTTAGTTTTCTTTGGTAACTGGTCGTGCAACTAAGTCTGTAAAATTTTGGCATATATAAAAGCGTGTATACTACATATAATTCACAACACTACAAACATGAAATATATATATTATAAATTCGAATTAGGGGCCCAGTGCTGAGCGTCATTAACAAATTTTCATACATAAATAATTGCTTTTATGTATTTAAATATGTATATTACCATTGTGTTTGAACACTTACGTCTATTTCTACTTATAAAGCGATTACATATTTGCATCCTTAATTGATTTTGCTAACACATTTTTATAACTATCTAAGTATATTCAAACTACACGCGTAGTCTCCAAGAGAAATACAAACAAACAACAAATGCTTTAATTAGCGGCCACTTAAAGACGCATAGCATACTTTCAGGCTGCATGCCGCTCTACCTCTTTCTATCTATCTGTCTCTCTCTCTCTCTCTGTCTCTGTCACTTTGTTTAAATTATGATTTGAAACGAAAAAACTTCAAATATTATTTTCTCTTGTTTTTTATTACATTTCGATCAACATATCTCACGCAAGTTATGGTTTGATTTGAATTTTGCTTTTACAATCTATATATATAAATTTATATATATATATATATTAGACTCATATCTTCAATTAAATCTAAACTTAAGTAGCATATAAATAAATATTCCTCAATGCTGTGAACATTTTCGTAATTACTAAGTATGTATTCTTTTTTGGTTACTTTTTTCACGACTGTTACAACATACGCAACAACAACAACAATAACAACAACAACAACAACTGCATCAAATATCGTTACAACATTATCAAAACCAAAATTTATACCAAAAATTTATACCAATATATCGAAAAACTTACAGCGCCGCACTGTGACTACGCTAAACAGTACCCCACATACGATCAACCGCATTCGGTACCACAGAATGTTTTGGTAAAAATAATCATTTTTAGCTAGCAAATTTGAACATTCCAATCAAATAATTTATTCAAATCCATTAGAGAATTATTGTTTGTTGTGCCCAATTTGAGTTTTGATTATATGTATGTGTATTGTTGTTTTTTTCTGTTTTTCATGGGACTGCGCTTTATGTCTTGCCCCCACACCTAAGTTATGATCTGAATACTAGCCATAATCAATATGCTATAAGTTCTTTGTATTCCCTGCACTTTTGGCGCTTTGTTTGTAGCATTTAAATACTACGTATATTCATAAGATTTTTTGGCATCTTGGGCTTATAGCTTGAATTCGCTGATCACCACCTTAAATATTAGATTATATCTATTTATATATTAAAACCAAAAAATCGCACTGATATGATTTGTTTGCACTCCTCTTCTTTTTTTTTTTTTGTTATGGTTTAGGTTCTTAACTCCTTTTGCCATTTTGCTCTCTATCACCTGTCGCTAGTTTTGTCGTTGCCGTTGCATTTGTTCGATTTGTGCCCCACCTTTAACACACAATTTGCTTCAAATTATTCCAGGCCACTGCTCCGCTGTTAAAGACACCCCTGTCTCAGGCCCAGCAGCAGGCGTACGCCACGGCGGCCACCACCTACACGGCGGTCGCTGCCCGGGCCGCCTATGGCGCCGCTGCAGCAGCAGCCGCCCAACCAGCACTCGCTGGCTATGCCACCGTAGCGGGGTAAGTTTTCATCAAAATTTTCCATGTGCGCCACTTGCTGCCTCAGCCAAAGTTGAGCTGCTCCACATTCACAAATTGTCCACGAAACATTTTACTAAA